AATCGATATATCGATTGATTAGCAGTGCTTTTACCTATTGTGAGAAGTACCGGATGATCGAGAACGAGCTCGGAGCCTCGTCTGAGACTGAACTTCAGGTGATATTCTGGTGAAGTTTCACGGTCGAACAGGCCACAGGCCAAAAGCAGATAAACCGATGGCGATTGACTTTGCCGCAAGCAAAGCGATGGACATCCAGAGAGGCTGACAACACTGAAAAATACCCCTTGAAAAGACGAAACGAAGGATAAGGATTGTGAGGGAGCCTTATCTGACATTCACTGGACTCACCTGTCTTTTTGTTCATGGTTGAGACTGAGCCGGGCGACAATAGTGCCAAGGGTAATGTTCTCCAGTATGTGTGCCATTGAGGAATCAGTCAACCAGATGATGTCGATGGCAGGAGCCGTTAAGGACGTGCCTAAAACAAATTGATGCTGGCGATTCAGAAAAACCAATTTGCTTCAAGACTATACCCCCCCCCCCTAATACTACTACTATTAGGCTTAGTTTTGAATGTTAGCAATATCTGCGATTCGTAGCATTCTGCTATCTCGCTTCTACAATGTGAGGAAAGAGGTTTTGACCAAAAACAAGACTCACACACTCCCTCCCCTCTGAGAAGGAATTAGCGATAAAATACGAAGGTGCCTATCTATTGAGAGGTCTATTTCAGTTTGAAATCCCGTCGTCACCATAGATTTGAGATGAATCTCTGCTTAATACCCACCTAGGCCGGTCAAATCTCTCGTCGAAGGCTCTTAAAAGGATAACCCATCCCTTTGGGAACGTGACAGCACATGCTCAAAGATCGGCTAGCTGGTAGAAGCCATTGTGTGAGCATAAAATGACTCAAGCTCTACAACGATTCGTCAAGAAACGAAAGCATGGGTTTGGCATAAGGATAGATTGGTAACTATAAAACGTTTCGGTCCCTGAAACCTAGACCCACCTTGTACCGTAACGGTGACGATCGTGGTCGTCTCCAAGGACGGAGTACCTCCATCGTATGCTACGACGACGAGATCGTGAACGACGCCTGGAAGCAAATGGCCCGCAGTTGACAGGACTCCATTCGAAGAAAGGGAGAACAGCGACAGCGTATCGAATCGTGTCTAAAAGATTTGCTCCTTCACTAGTTCTATTTAGACAGTTCTTTAAAACGACATTAGGCAGGAAAAATTGCATATCACACATTTTTGCAAAGACCTACTATAACATTTCGGGTGTCCACCATATCCAGACGTCCGAATTCCTGTTCACTTATGACTTCCCTATACCATAAGCTTTACCCTTCAAGATGAGCAACGGTAGACTAGCGGCAAGAAATGCCGGTGAGGCACCTGCTATTGGGAATCAACAGTCAAATCTAGCCTAGCTCAGCTACTGGAGAGCTTACTATCATTTCAATTTTTAGTGAGTGGTTTCATACATTTATGGCTGCCCCGGTCTTTTCGATCAGTGCCATAAGGTGAGAAAGTTTCCAAAAAGACCTCAAATTCCCAAAAAGGAAATGATAAGCATAGCCCCAATGAACTTTTACTTTTCCGCTTACCGTATACCATCACTCGCCATATTTCGACAACCCACAAAAACAACTTTTTACAAAAAATTACTGAAAAATCGATGGGGCGAAGTTCAATCGAAGGCAGAAGCAGTAGAATAAGTGAGGGATAGAGCTAGGAAAAGATTCAGGTGACAATGATGGGTTGACGAAGAATTTAAAGAAGAGGAAGGAGTAGGACAGATTGACAGATTGGCATCTGAAAGAGAATGTTCAGGCGACAGTGGTATTAGTCTGCTCAAAGCACCAAAGTAGACGATTCCCGTGGGTGGTCAAGAAGCTCATTTGTGCAGGAAGTATAGGAAGTATAAGAAGTCTCCATCCCGATTCGATGGTACCGGTCAATCCGCTTGCAGGTGTGAGCATGAAATTCAGAGTCTGTAGTTGTAGTTGGAGCTGTCCAGATAGGTTCATGGGCTTGCTCCGAAAAAATCGTATCCACCCCTCACTATAAACTCTTCCCCATATTTTTATCTCGGACCCAACTCAAAACCTCTGTCTGTGGCTTATCCCATAGATGAACTTGCTAGAAATCTCTGTGGAGATACTCCTAGTGCCAGATGAATAAGTCAAGACATTTGATGAATTGGCTAGTCAGAGGATTCAAGCGGTTCGCCTCCGAATTCAGATGATGGATGACAACACCATCAAAGTGAAACCGCCATCGATCTAACTTTACCATATGAGAAGTTTTTATCAAAATCTCCTCCATCTTCCCGTCATGTTCAGAAATATCATGTTTGAAAAGAAAAATCAAATCGAGCAGTACCGGTGGTTAGTTATAGTTACCCAGCCATAAAGCCAGGCAGTTTGACTCTATGGAATACTANTAAGATCAGAAGCTACTACGCTTGACTCTGGATTCAATTTCGAGACGGATTTGATAAAAGCATAGACGAGAATTACCTTCTGAAAACGATATCCTACTCGGCCGTTGCTGTCCACATCCGCATCAGTAGCTTTCACAGTGAGCAGCTGAGAACCGATCGTAAGATTCGCAGGTACTGTGATACTGTAGCGCGGTTGGACGAAAACCGGTGCATTGTCATTGGCATCCAGAATGAAGATGTGTACAAGAAGGCGGCCTATTCTAAAAATCCAAAATTTCAAAGGCTGCCTCAATATCAGAAAGTTGAGTTTATTTAGAGTTCTATGTGAAATAACTGCAAGCCGTGCTACTAATTTCAACGTGGGACAGAGAGCCTCTTTATGCGCTGACGCGTGCGGTCGCGTAACTGTTCTATAATTCGTCAATTAAGTAATCGGAATTAATCTGGTAGAGCCTTCGCTTCTACTCGGGAAGGGATCCTTGTTTTGGGTGCAAAATTTCATTTCGTGCGCCGCTAGTGCTTGACAAACTCAACACCGCCTCGCAACCGCACGCGTCCTCATTTGCAAGATCTCAAGTTGCATAACGGATAAAACGTTCAACAAATGTAATATAAAAACGGAGCTAAAGAAACGGAACTATATGATCCAGGTTTTCTTATCAAATGATAAAACGTCATTTTAATAATCGTTGTATGAAAAGGGATGCAATATTCACTAGATAACAAAAACGTTCATACTTCGGTGGTTTCCCGCCGTCGATCGCTTCGACAATCAGCTCGTACTTGTCGCGATACTCCCTGTCAAGTTGCCCGTTCACAACTAGATCCGCATAGAGTTCGCCGTTTACCGGACGTACCGAGATCTGAATTGTGTGGCTTGAAGTTCGCGAAAAATGCTTCGCATCCTTTACAGCACTGAAAATTTTTCAGCGGAAAAAAAACTCCATCGAACCTTAAACACATTGTTCACGTTGCCCTGAGCTATACGATACTTCTGAACGGTGTAGTTTGCTCCATCGGTATCTTCAGCTCGTGGCAACGGATAGGCGGCTCCAATACGGGCAAACTCAGAGATCTCCAGCTGAAAAGCATTATTTTGTCTTCATCCAATTCCGGATGGAAAAAAAATTACCTTACCTTTATTTTGTCGTCAGGAAATGTTGGCGTATGATCGTTAACATCCTCAACTTCTATCGTCACCTAAAACCAACAAAATCTCATCAGTACTCATTGATGCAACGATTTTTCAGACCATTCTCGAACCAAGTGATCACCATTTTCATTCAGTGGATAAACAATACCTAATGAACTGGCAAAACTCAGGAGAAAATCGCTTGAATATGTAGAAAATACGCAGAGCTTTCAGCTGAAGAAGCTTTGCAAGCTCGAAAAATTAAAAAGGAACGAGAAAAATCAAAAGAATGAATGGAAAATAAAACTAGATAATATAGGAAGAAAAATCAGAGAAAAAGGAACAGTAAAGAAACTAATAAAGGCTGAATGGGAGATGTGGCCTAAGGTTTGCAAGGGTTTTCATCTCCCCTACCCACAGCTGGCTATTTTGCTCTTAACATAAACAGCCCTACTGAAAAATATTACTAGAAACGAGATCTATTCAAGCCTACCTGAATGCCATCTCCTCCATCGATCGGTACAGCCAGGATCTCGAATCGATGCCGCTTTTCGTAGTCGAGTGGAGCCAACAGGACGATCTCGCCAGACTTGTCATCGATTTTTATCACCTAAACAAATCGAATTGATCAGTTTCGGTCAAACCTTTTAGCTTCGGATTGCTCATTGTAGAAACTTTGATTCTCACTCATAAAAGCAAATTGGTAACAGAGGGTAAAAATTGGAGAGGTGGTTAAATGGTTTGCGAAGGATACTCCACTTCTATCGAGAATTGGCAAGTTCTCTCAAACATAACAGAATTCTGTCAAGCATGGAAAAATATATGGCCCTTGGAGATTCTGATTCGTCTGACCCTGTTGTTCATGATTCTCTGGTAATAACCTTTGTTCACAGCGCTGCTAGCTGGATTAAGCTGATGGCGAGCTTGAAGAGTGAAGTGAAGGCCTTAACTTGACTTGATTCAAAGCTATAGCAATCGAATAGGGAGGAAGTTCTGTAGTCGCAAACAAGGTTCTGAAACTATACCTGCTCTGGAAGCCTCCTCTAATCCTTTTTTCTACCCCACTCCCCTCCGGTCAGCCAGTCAGTAGCTCAGTAGCAGACATGTAAGGATGTACGGAAAGCACTCATTGGCTTGCACATCGCCTAGCGACTGCAAGTCATTGTATAGGCCTCATACGAGCCAATAACATCACTATAATTTTAAAAAGTCGAATGACTGGGCGCATCCCTTAGACAGGATTGATCCAAGCCTACACTCTTCTTAGACTTTGAACTCCGATAAACTAGTAACAACCTCCTGGGAGAAAATATTAGGGTACTTTATAATTCTGAAGAGCGATGTTCAAGAAAGTTTCCAGGCACGATCCAGATTCACTACTTTCGAGTCCCTTGTTATCCGTAAATTTGGCGGACATAGCCGCGGCCGTAAATCGAATCTTCCCATTCAGCGTTGTTCATCGTGCCACACTCAGTGGTGTTTCGCTAATTCGCCAGTACTTTAGTCGACAGAATTTGTTCGAAACATTGGGAAGTTTGGCCATTCAGAGGAAAATTACCACATTAACAGCTCAAAGCTTCCTTCTACTCGTTTCTCTCTCAGAAAGCATTTTTATAACCCAACAAGAGTTTTAGGCGGAGAACCTCAAACAAGATTTTCAACCTAAAGAGATGAAGCTGGGAATCCGCTGACCCATTGAGCTTCTCGTTCCCATGGAAATTTTTCTTTCTTTTTTTTTATTTTGGAAAAGAAGTTCAAAGATCACATGCCGGAAAATTAAGATCGAAAATAGAAAATTTTGATGTTATGTGAACGTAGCCCAACATACATAGTTTCTGACCCATTTGTTCCCCAATACGACCTCAGGTATTTTTCAGATTCAAATGCAATTGCCTTCGTTATGCAACTGCAAAGCTCGTCCATTCATGTAGTGAAAGATGGACAAAGGACTTAGGAAAAAGTCTTCGAGCGTCATTCAAGGATGCGCCCCCGCGTTCGACTTCCATTCAGAATCGAAGTGGCGTAATGAATGTGTACATACGTGGCCTATACAATGGTTTTCGGTGGCCAGCCGACGGTGCAAGCCAGTACATTCATCTTCCCAGATGGATCTGTCGACCGATCGATCGATCCATCTGGGAGGATAAGAGATCGATCAACTGACTCTGGAGGGTTGGAAGACTTGTTTGACCTATGGTGACTGTTGGCCCAACTGAATCTTCGGGACCCCCTTGTAAACGTCTGACGGTCTTTAAAAGCTAGGCCGAATCTGCAGGGTGTGATGATTCCCAGCTGGGAGCATATGAGATTGTTGTTGACACTAACTCCTCATGTTTAGTCCCCGCATACTCCAGTAATATTATACGTCTGAAGCCAAACGGCAAATCTCGGATGAAAAAAACTGAAATTGGCCTGTAGAAGGACTAGCACGGGCAAGTAAATGAGTAAATAAGTCCAACAGCGTCTGTCAAAGATATCTACATGTCAATAATAAGTTCAGATCAAATATAAGTTTACAAATACATTTAGAGTTTGTCAGCGAAGTTGTTTATCAGATTTAGAAAGCTGTTTATCAGGTTTAGCAGCTTGTTTATCTACTTAACCCATATCCTTTTGGTCGACACATCAAAAAATCACATCAGTAAATAAGAGACGGACAGATCACCCTCTATCTAATCATTCCGCCTGGGATTTGACACTTCCAACAGTCTGCTTCGGATACGGTAGGATTAATTAATAGAAGTACTACGTATTATGTCATGCTTTTCATCCACTTTTTCGTCATCATTCATTCTACCCATGAAAAATTATCTAATATTCTCAAAATTCTGTAAAAATCTGTAAAAAAAAAATAAAAAACGAAATCGCCTCGAATTCCTTTGTTATAATATAAATAGATTCTTTTTCGTATCATAAATTCACAAATGTTAAAGATTTTCTGAGATCAGTCTTATGAGATAGCGCTCGTAACCGCTGTTATTGTTTGTGACCTTTGTTGCTTTCCGTATACAAAAAGTATTAAATTTAAAATAAATTTATAAATAAATGGGTACTTAGTAATGTTAGATAATCAGTAAATAAACAGCAAAAAACAACATCTGACACTGAATTATTTGAATTTCTGACAAACTATTTTGCCAGCAAACGCTTGTTGTTATTTCGATTTTTCACCTAGTCCCTTTGCCCTGAGACCCCGCAGCTTTTCCTCCCATTACAGTATCCCTTTCATGTCCATATATCAAGCAGTCAAGGTCAATTAGCGTTGGCTGCTTGTAATGTATTAGATGACATCTGTTATTTGCGACCATTACCACCACCACTACCGGCCGGGCACCGGTCATCGTCTTAAGTGAAACGTTTCTCATTCCCGTCAGTCGACACCGCCGCCAACATCCCCACGGGCTAATGTATTCCGGATATGATAGTGTCGATAACTGATGGATAGCCAGCACGCGATGTTTACCCCTCAAATCAATCAGCCGAACGTTAGCAGGACAGAAATATGCCGCCTCCTACCCCGACCGCTTTATGTATTCAGCGCTTTTCAAAAATAAAATTCGAAGACAAGCTTCCGACCGACTCCATGGAATAGATGAAGCCTCCCACCGCTTGGCTTTCTTGGGTCCGAGTTTCGATTGCAACCGAAAATCGGAAGAGTTTTACAGTTACCAGAGCTTAATGTCATTTGACCTTGGAAGATCGGAAGTAAAAGTATTGTAATTCCTCCATCACTTGGCAGAAGGGGCTTTCGTGTTGTTCGTGGGTACTTGGATCCCAAAAGGCAAATAATATTCATGAAGGAAATTGTAGAAATCAAATTTCGAGTTGAAGCCCGAAAATTTCATTGTCCTCTTCGAATGGGGTGCTCATTCCTTCAAAAATGCTTTTTTGACAGAAATCCTGAAAAGAGAGCACAGGGCCTAGGCTGAGACCTTGACCATTCCATTTCCTGCTTTTATCCCTAATCGTTGGGACCAGGGTACTCTCTTTCCAGTTAAACAGCCGTATTTCTTTTTTTCGATTGCCGACTCACGTCCTTTATGATCTCGAGAACTTTACTACATCTGATTTCTTGCTGTGCTCTCCCTCAATTCGGAGCCCCTTTACCTCTACCGTATCCCGAGTACGGTATTATGACCATGAGGCATGGGTGAAACTACTTAGTTTCGTCATAAAGTATTTACCTTGATGATGAACTACAGCCTTTATTGCAATGTCGTACCGCCGCTGACGTTTTACGTTTCTTACGTTGTTCGACGTCGTCAGAGGAGCGCCGTTCATAATTGGCAATGTTAAGACGATGGGCCAGCCGCCGCCTACTCCGTCAGCATAGCAAGGTCATCACGCATTTCATGAGGGCCGTTAGAGAACCGCTCGAAGAATGAGGCAAATCGAGCGTAAGTAACCTTCAACGCGCGAAGCGGATGGAATCCCAATCGGCAATCCGCTAGCGGTTGTCGCGGCAGAGCCGGCTGCCGAGCCAGTCGACCGGCTGGCGGTTTTTATGCAGATGAAGACTGACGGCGAAAAAGGCAGCCAAGGAAAAACGCCTCTTTGAAAGAGTGGAGCTCGGGAAGGTCATGAGACGTTTAAAGTTTAAACGGACAAAGAGAAAACACTGGACGAGAACAAAAAAGAGCTTCTGCGACTCTTTACAGTAAACGAATAATCTCTGAATTGACTAAGAGGATGGACAAACCTGCTCTGAGAGAGTATCGGGAAAAACGACGAAATACTTCGGATGAGTGGCTAAGGTTGGATGGCCGGCTACATAGCCAATCACATGACCAATCGGTGCGGATTCTGGCACGACGAAGCTGATACTGTCGGCATTAACATGGCACAGAAGTGCGGTGTAGAGGAGCAATAGCATAGTGTATTAGGAATCAGGAAGAATAAGCATTGCTGAGTGATCTGAAAAGGGTTTTGGGTTTTTGAAAGGCTTCAAATTAATTGTTTTAGGCCCCGGAGAAGGCAAAAATTGACGAAACGTTATCCGACGTAATTGTATTTAACCTCGTGGGCTGTTGGATAGAATAAAGTTGTGTTTCGAGTTGAATAAAACTAATACGATCACATAGAATGAATCTTTTGAATCAGGGACTGGCTGAGATTAAAGCAATGAACCTCAAGATAAGACGACGGAAATGAACAAAGAATGGAGGACACTAGAGGGCTGGCTATCCAGAAGGAAAGAGTTAAAGTCATCGTTGATGCTTCGTGAAAGTCGCTCCTCGAAAATGCAATTTTTCAAATTCATGGATCAACGCATCAACACGGAAGGCTGAGCCTATGTAGAAACATTTTTGCAGCAACGTGCGGCTAAAGCGGAGTCATATGAAGTCATTATTTGCCATTCACTTAGATAGAATAAACCTATCATCATATGAGGTACAGAGGAAGGTTTTGAAAGCCAGACCTGTGGAGTATGAGCTCAGACACCTTCAGCGTCTCTTTTCAGTCATCATTGTCTCCACACTCATTAAGGAGTTTCATATTGTCATTGTTTTGCTTGCTGATAGCTGATAATTTGAAGTTTTAATGTCAGACGAAATCTCTTGACATTGATCAACCCTGGTACTGGGATGCGCCCTGCATCGACTTAGATCCAGAATCGTAGTGGCCTTTGAATGGGTATGTGGTCTATGCAATGACCTGCGGTGGCCAGCCGATGTGAAAGCTGTAAACGAAGGCGGGTAATGATCCGACTTTCGAGTTCGATTTCGGGATGATGCATGTAAATAATAGGGGCCGCTTGTTATCACCGCCGCCAAAACTATTATAGGAAGCAGGAATTACGGTTTCCCTAAATTTTGTCTTTTGCTTACTATTTACACTGGAAGTTTCTTGATGGAAGCCAACTTGTTTCACTTAGATTAAGCCTAATTCTCGAATTCTGGAAGAGAAAAGTCAAATGCGAGGGAACAAACAAACAATTCCGATCCAACGCCTTAACGTTGAGCCATGGCGACTGGCCTCTTCCACTCCTAATTTTCAAAAAATGAGAAAATGTTTGAAGCAGATTAGTAATGGGTTCATCTAGTTTGCAAACTTCAAAATGAAAAATGTACATATTCTATGGAGTTGAAATTCATTAAAGTGTACAAGTTACCCAACCGCACTAATCGGCGAAAAAACAACCCATAAATTCAGGTGCAGGCGATTTAACGATCAACTCGGTGTTTTTAGCCTTCCAAAAAAAGCTTCATGAGACTGGCCGAGCAGTAAAATGCGTCTACTCAATGTCGTATTCTTTTAAACCCATCATCAGAAATTACGCCTTTGTGAGCAACAATTGAAAAAAAAATGAATTGAGAAGTAAAAAGATTCGAGAGAGAGTCGAAGTGGAATGAAGGTTTTACTGCTGTCATTCTGGTCAGCATGGAAAATATGCCCAGATTACGTATTCTGATAAAATAATGGATCTAGCCTGTAGAGGATACATGAAGAAGTCCTTCTCCACTCATTCCGAGAGGTTCATTTAAGGAATAGGGACGGGATTTTGGAGCGCAGACGATTCCCGGCTGTTTTTGTACTGTTACCATCTTTTTTGATTGAGTAAGTTGCGCATCAGGCCATTAACACTGAACTGCATCAGCTAAGAAACTGAATACCACCGAAATGAGGTGGTAGCATTTCTTTCACCATAAGATCATGGCAGAAGTCAAGGGAATATTCCTGACCCGGATCTGGTCTGTAATGTTACAGTAATGTGGTAAGAACCTGGTCTAGAGCTGCCAGTAAATTGAACAACCTTGCCGATGCAGAACATCTAAGAGGGCATGTGGGAGAAGTGGGAGAAGTCAAGAGATACGTAAAGTGATCCCATCAGAAGGAAAGAGAGAACAAAAAAAAAGGAAATTTTCGTTCATCTAAAGAAGTTCAGTTACAATGATATGTATGACTTTCAAGAATGAGATGTACTCCTCCCATGTGAGAATTTCGTTGGCAAAAACAGGTCCCGAATTCCACTCGCGACCCACTTGGGAGAATGTGCTAAAGCAACCTTTTTAGTTCTCTGTAATCTCTATAATGGGTGGCTGGCTGGGTGGCTTTCACTTTTTTATAATGTGATAAAATGGTTTCTTATCAAATTTTGCAATGAAAGGATTATTTTTGAAATAGAATTCTGACACGTGANGATAAGATGGGTGAATGGAGGGCGGAGCTAATCAACTACGTTCGCAGAAGAACCTAGAGCCTCCCGTAGGCCCTGCTACAAAATTAACGATCAGCCGTATTCGATTAAAATGCATGAGATGAGTCAGTCATTGGAGGACAATTACGGATGGTGAATGGCTAAAAAGCCATATGCCGCAGTGTTGAGGTAACAGCGTTAATCACGACAATATCATGAATTATTCGCAAATATCATTTATTATTGATTGATCTGGACCTGTGCCTAACAGTGTCCCAGCACGATTTCCATAGAACATATTGGGGATATCAATTCTTCGGCATGTTGCTGACACTCAACAGTTAGATACCCTATTCACTTTTTACATAAGAAAATTTTGGTTAGTTTGAATCCAACCTAAAAGTGGACGCAGGGCTGGCGATGAATGGATGGCGTCAGTGCACTGTGCAGTGCACTGACAGTGCACATCTTTCGCTCAACTAATTACCGATTAATCACCATGCTCGAGCAATTGGACCTTTACCCTCGAGATAAGTTCCCGGATAGGCCAATGCTACCTTCATGCTTTTACAACCCCGGAGCTCCACCGCGAACGTCAACAGGGCCTGAGATCCGTAGCGAATTTGCTTGATGTCATAACAACACACTACGGGCAAGGATTCTGTTCGAGACAAGACTTGAACCCTAGAAACGGAATTTTTGCCCTAGCTCAGAAACCTTGTGATGACTTTTGAATCGTAAGTTAGGGGAGAAACAGCAGTCATACAAAAAGAATCGAGTGAAACAAGCTAAGGCCCACCCTTGTAACCGATATAATTGGTATCAATTGAATGGATTAACTGTAGAGGAGGTGAGTACTCTTCTAGTGTTCCAGCCCATCAGTCGTGTAATGTTCGCGTATGAGACGGTACGGGAGCAGGTGAGCGAATAGAAAGAACTGTCCAATATTGTTGATTGTTAGTCATTGGTAGAGCGAACTGATATCCTCATGCTAAGTTCAGTATTCATGGATAACCCAGTTCCCAGTTCTCACCCCATTATATGTATCTCCTACCAACTGGGTTCAACTGTTGGAGAAGAGAACTTATCGTCAGTAGGAATCGGTTATTCAATCACACCCCAAATCGATATCATTCGCTATCAGTTGTGTAACTCGAAACAGCGAGACGAAGTAGGCACCTGAGATATTATGATCCAGTACAATTAGTAAGGTTGCTACTTTTGGAGCTTACTCCTGACTGTTACTATCCCAATTGGTAGATGGTTTCCACTCCTCTCACGGCAAGAACGAAAGGGAATATGGAAGGCCTAAAAGCGATGAAGTGATTGTATTTTGGCCACTTCCTATATCGGCCCCTATCCCAGCATACTTCCTAATTGTGAAGCCCATATACCAGATCAAAGATAAGATCCCGTACCAAAAAAATTAAAGGGTACACATAAATAGGAATGCATCGCAGCACTCAGGGTGATCGCCCTAGTCCTCAAAGCCTTCGGTCCCTTCCAGAATGGATAGTCTAGGTCAGGAGAGGAAATCACTGACTCGGGTGTTGCCCGTTGCCACAAACAACGGTCAAAACTTAGTGCGCAGTAAAATAACAAAGGCGACATTGTTGGATTCCCTAAATTTCATTACATGCACGGCTTCCGGCTTACTGACCACTATCCGCTATACGCTCTTCAGCAATCCTTACACCACCTCTTTGCCAGAAAAAAAATTAATTGAAGAGTAGAAATCAAAGTGAGATGTTCAAATTTAAAAGTGACTAGAATCATCGAAGGCTCAAAGAAACCATCGGCGAAACCAGTTAATCAAACTTGACGGCTGATTGAGGATGCGCCACGCATTCGACCACCATTCAGAAAGGTAGAGCGATTTGATTGCGTATCCACCTACACAAGGTCAAGGAAAAGCCAGAAGTTCACTCCATTGTTATTATTCCTGACAGGCCCCACATATAGCCCTAACACAAGGCAAGCGCGATATACATACCCATTGACATGGTCTACAATTCTGGGTGAATGGCGTAACTAAGAGTGATGATAAAATATTGGAACTGTTCAATCCCCTTTTGGGATGAGCTCACCCATTCGACATTTATTCAGAATCGCCCTCGCCTATGAGTGTGCACAATAATATGCTCCAGACTTCGTCTATCAGGCAAGTACACAACATCCAGACCAGGTGCTATGAGTTCCAGTATTTTCTTCGCCTACATTGGCCCGGTAGCAGTTAATAAGAAGATGTCAAGGAGGTTGAGCCGAATGAGTACCAGTTCTTAAATTGGCTTCCAGCCCTTCAAAACTCCATCTTAAGATTCGAGGGTGAACTATTACAGAATTAACCTTGCCGTTTTTTTACCTAATTGACGGAACAGTTTACTTCGCTCAAACGGCTATGATAAAGAAGCTCCCATGGAACTGAGTGAGACTAGCTCAAGGAAATACATACATGGCTCAGAAGCTGGCTATATGGCTGATTTTGCAAAAATGCCATGATGTAAAAGTAGAAGATACCTTATATACAACGGAGAACATAGCTGCTGTGTACCAAACAAATAAATAAACAAATATGTAGGCTCATGATTCTCCTTCGTTTATTATCGATCGGTTTAGAGAGAATAAACAAAAGAAACTGAGAAAATCAACAGAGAGTTGTGAGAAGATTCAAAGAAGTCCGAAAAATTCTAACAAAAAGTCAGAAAATTGCAACCAATTTCACATCATTGAGGTAC